AAATTGATCAAAGTTACCATTAAACACTGTTTTGATAAGAAATAGTTTCTTTTGGATTGTAGGAGTTGGTCATTTTTGAAGCAACACAAAGAATATGGGGTTAAGGTGGTTGACCGACAATTGGTGGGGTCACTTATTTGTCTCTAACTTTTTTATTTGTCATTGAAATAAGACATATTTAGTATATTTTTACTCAGAATTGATTGCACTTTCTAAATATGGAAAGTTATTTTAATTGAAAAGCAAACTTTGAAAGTTAAAGGTGGCAGGGGATAGTTTCGTACTAAAGACTCGTAAAATTTCTTTAAAAAAACTTAGATATCCCCTGTTTGATGGGATATTTTATGTAGAAAAATGATTAGAATAATAATTATGGGACACATTTGCAGTGTAGCAGAGTGCTTGCTGAAAAAAATTACGTGCAACATGTAGGTATCACTATGACGCTTATCATATACAGAGTTGTAAATGCGAAACTAAGACACGTGGTCATGCAGTTGCAGAGGAAATTCAGCTGAAAAGCAGTAGGCCTTAGAAGAAGGTGTGTATCTCAGAGGTAAAGTGAATGACCCCATATCAATTGGTGAATTTTCATTAGGGCATGCATTGATTTACAGACTACTGGGTGTTTTATCCTGCTCGCTCGGGCCTGGGGGTGGGTCATATGGGTGCAACTGAGGCCCAAATCTTGGAAAAACAATCCAAAATTTGTGGGGTCCTCAGGTGCATCTTTGGTACATGTGCACTCTAATAGGCAGATTACATGTAATTTGTTGACCTAATTTGTGAATCATGGGCATATGTAGTGTAATTAATTAGCCCCTGGAAAACTGTCCCCATGTACATGTTTTTATGGGTCGCATGTATATGTGTACCCCCTCGGCACATGTTTGGCATTAAAAAAAAATATCCTCTGCCACCTTTGTCCTTTTTGTCAGTATTCAGGTGTTCAAAATTAACAATTTTAGATATTTATTGCATTTGTCTTTGAATCAAATAATGTACATTCCTATCCTCTATCTCAGTCCAATATTCACTTCCATGAATTAATTTGATTGATCACTGAAAATTAAGAAATAATAAACAGAAAAGTAAGGCGTTACAGTTTGCAGTGAAATTACATCATATACTTTTTCAACATTGATTTTTTTTCTCTGGACTCTTTCTTTAGGAAATGCTTTACAATGCTAAAATTAATATATTTTTTGAAGCTGATTTGGAAAAATATTCACTTAAAAGGATTTGATTTCGTGGTTGAAGAAGTGCGGTGTTCTTACCAGAACATATAACAGTTCACAGAGGACATGAATTTTTATAAAGTTATGAACAGTACTTGTATTATACACTTTCAGTGACCTTGAACATACCCAAATGACCTATGAGCAATGTTCCAGGGATTTTTTTACCCTTTGATTCCAGGGGCCGGGGCCGTCAAGATTGGGAAAAATAGTGATATTTGGTTGAAATTGGGAAAACATATCTTCATACAAATAAATAGGAAAAAACAAACAAAAGTCAAATACTTAATCATTTTTCTTATTTTTTATAGTATGAAGCTGGCTTAAACCAGCTTTAATGATATGAAATAATAGCGGCTTTTGAAGTTCAGAAGCTTAAAAATGGCAAAGCCGCAGGGTATGATAACATTGTAAATCATTTACAAAATGATTAAAAAATAAAGCTACCTAAAGGGGTATTTGATACGGATTTATAGCAAGATAATTATCCCAATTGGCAGTTCACACCTTCGCACGTGATGGTTTGTGTACACTACACAATTATCAGAAGGTCAAGTGTCAAACACAGGTGACGTTTTCCAGTGTCTCGCGAGCGAGAATGAGAGGAAAATGGCGGCATTTAGCGAGAAATTCAAAATACTGTAAAAATTTTCATATTCCGTGAATTTTGGTGTCCCGCCGGTACATGATGAATGGGCTCGAAAAACTGTACATTTTGCGTACAGCCGGTACATATCACATGTATGTAAATGAACATATTTATACGTTGTCATCTTTTTTACCTTTACGTAAGAAGTTCTTTAAAATAAAATTTGATAGTGGGTTTGTTCCAGATGAGTGGTTAATCGGTATTGTTAGACCAATTTATAAGAATAAGAGCAATTCAATCCAGTAGTGCCAGTTTAAAAATAGAGGTTTTTTCTTAAAAATTGACATGATGGTAGTGCCAGTTTAAAAAAGTTTTTTCTTAAAAATTCTTTGGGATGTATATGGGGTGGAATGGGGTTATTTTTGGGCATAGATGGAAAGGAAAGGGTCTGAAAAAAATTATAAAATTGATAATAATGGGAAATTTTGCTTTTTAGCGCTTATTAGAAAGGGTGTAAAGAGGCCCATGTTTACCCTTTCCTCAAAGGAAAAGTGAAATAAGCAGGGTAGGGGTTATTTGTGATGCCATAGCAGGACTTGCAGACTATGAATTTTCCTGAAAAAAATTTGGACTTGAATTGTTCTTACTCTGTGCCAAGTTTCAGGTAAGTTGAGCCGGTGTGATTTTTTAAATTAATTTTTTATATTATAAAGGAATGTATAGCTAAATAATTGGTAGTCTGTGTCCTGATGCATGTTTATTGATGAAATAACGATCCCGACTTTAATTTTTAAACATCGATCCCGCTTTAAAAAGTATGCATGCAAACATCCGTAGTATTCTGAATAACTTCTTGGAACTCCTCGGATGGCTCGTACATCGCACATATATATATAGAGAACATAAACACCTTTTTGTCATTATTTTATTTTAATAATTTACAACTTAATACTTTTTTTTCATATTGGGAATTTTTAGGTATAATTTTGGGAAAAACATGCACTTTTCAGCATTGGGAATGGGGCCAAATTTCGGCCCCGGAGAGACCCTAAAAAAATCCCTGTGTTCTAACACAGGATCATATCACCAAAAAAAAAACTTTATGCCAAAAGTGAGGTTCCAATAATCAACTTTTAACAAGATATTGCAAGGACAAGAATAAATTTTTGACCTTTTCAAAATGACTGGTTCAAGGTCCTGACACATCCGCTGGTCATAAGAAATCATTGTATGAAGTATAAACTTCATGCATTTCAGTCAAAACAAAACATGTAAGATTGTTCCCGTTTTTATGGCTCCACCCTACCCTCCAGGGGCCATGATTTAAGCAAACCTGTGTCTGCTTTTCTTGAGGAAGCTTGTATATCATATAATAATATGGCTAAAGAATAGTCCTGGTTTCTTGAGAATCTTTTTTAAAGAATTATACATACATAATTCCTATGTAAAACCTTGTTTCCCTATTGTTGCCAAAACCTGACAATTAGCTGCCCCTGGGGCCATGATTTGAACAACTTTGAATCTGCACTACCTGAGGTCACTTGAATATTTATATGACTAACAATGACCCTGTCGCTTTTGAGAAGAAATTTTTCTTATAAACCATGTTTAACTTTGATCTCTAGGTTCCAAAATTTTGAATTTAATGCGTCTATCATTCCATCATTGTTTGCAATCTGTAAACTTAACATGTCTCCAATACAAAAGAGTTTCTAAACAAGGTAATTGTGAAAATAACTGTTGACCTAGTTATTCTGGAGATGAAATTGAAACAAGAGGCTCATGGGCCACATCGCTCACCTGAGTAACTTTGGCCATGCTATTCTTTACCAGATTTTCCCCCTTGTAATACTTATTGTGGCCCCGCCCTACCCCCGGGGGTCATGATTTTAACAATTTAGAATCTACACTACCCCAGGATGCTTCCACATAAGTTTCATCTTTTCTGGCCTAGTTGTTCTTGAGAAGAAGATTTTTAAAGATTTTTCCTATATATTTCAATGTAAAACTTGCATTCCCTATTGCGGCCCCGCCCTACCCCTGGGGGTCATGATTTTAACAATTTAAAATCTACACTATCCCAGAATGCTTCCACCTAAGTCTCAGTTTTTCTGGCCCAGTTGTTCTTGAGAAGAAGATTTTTAAAGATTTTTCCTATATATTTCAATGTAAAACTTGGATTCCCTATTGTGGCCCCGCCGTACCTTCTGGGGTCATGATTTGAACAATTTAGAATCTACACTACCCCAGGATGCTTCCACATAAGTTTCAGCTTTTCTGGCCCAGTGGTTCTTGAGAAGAAGACTTTTAAAGATTTTTCCTATATATTTCAATGTAAAACTTGGATTCCCCATTGTGGCCCTGCCCTTCCCCTGGGGGTCATGATTTGAACAATTTAGAATCTTCACTACCCTAGGATGATTTCACATAAGTTTCAGCTTTTCTGGCCCAGTGGTTCTTGAGAAGAAGATTTTTAAAGATTTTTCCTATATATTTCAATGTAAAACTTGCATTCCTTATTGTGGCCCTGCCCTTCCCCCGGGGGTCATGATTTGAACAATTTAGAATCTTCACTACCCTAGGATGCTTTCACATAAGTTTCATCTTTTCTGGCCAAGTGGTTCTTGAGAAGAAGATTTTTAAAGATTTTTCCTATATATTTCAATGTAAAACTTGGATTCCCTATTGTGGCCCCGCCGTACCCCCTGGGGTCATGATTTTAATAATTTAAAATCTACACTATCCCAGGATGCTTCCACATAAGTTTCAGCTTTTCTGGCCCAGTGGTTCTTGAGAAGATTTGTTAATGACCCCACCCTATTTTTGTCTTTTCTTGATTATCTCCCCTTGTAAGGGAACTTGGCCCTTTATTTTAAAAATTTAAACTCCCCTTCATCCAAGGATACTTTGTACCAATTTTGGTTAAAATTGGCCCAGTGGTTCTTGAGAAGAAGTTGAAAATGTGAAAGTTTACAGATGGACAGACAGACAGCTAGACGGACGGACGGATGGATGACGGACATCGGGTGATCAGAAAAGCTCACTTGAGCTTTCAGCTCAGGTGAGCTAAAAATTAAAGGACAATGACATACACAGTAAAATCAATACTATTTTGATCAGAAAACTCACAAGCCTTTGGTTCAGTTAATTGGTTCAATAAATAAAGAAGAGCATTCAGAATTCTTTTTTTTTATTTTAAAGAAGTGAAAGAAATAAGTGCATGAAAATTATTCTTTAAATAATTGAATGTAGATGTAATAAAATGAGAGCCATGGGTATAAAGATATAAAGCATAAACTCTGCAAAAATTGGCCTTGTTGAAATTATAAACTATTGTCCTTTCATTCAAATTTCAGATTGTCACCTTCTTACATCATAGGAAGTATTGGTATAAGGTATGAGTTTGTAAGTTTTTTTATCACTAAGTTTCAACAACAATCTGATTGCAAAGACAGATAAGGTGATTCTTATTTACCCTTGTATACATGGCTTGCTGAGCTATATTTTTTTTCAAAATTAGGTAGAAATGACCATTATTTAATTCAAGATTACACATGTATATCCAATATTCAAAGCAAATGAGCGTCACTCGCCATCGCATAGAAGACACTTCCCCTGTGGTTCAGAAGGTTTTGAGGGCTGTCAAACTCGATGATCTTCCCTGCACTCAGAACCATTATCCTGTGATAAAGAAAAGACCAGTAATCAATGAAATTGGAATGAAGACAATGAAGAACTAGAAATACATCCATATGACATGAATGCCCTGCCCAAGGTACATTTTTATTGCAACATGAAAAGAATAACACCTTCCTTCATTGTTCAGGGATAGATATATATCATGACATGAGGCCCAAGGGCCTAAACAGTCACATGAGTATAACAACACTGTAAATGATCCACTAAAATATGAAATAAAAACAAGAGGCCTAAGGGCCTTAACGGTCACCTGAGTGTAATACAACAATTTAGAGGATCGATCCATAGAGTATAAAATGAACTGAATGTTGAAGCTTTGTTGCCCAAAAGCAAGAAAAATATGGTGAACAGGATCAACAAAATAATTAGTCTAGTATTCATAAACAGTTCATAAATTAGGTTCTAATCTGTTCCCCATTTATCACTATCACCATACAGTATATTAACAAATTATCAATGCTTCTGTACTGTTTTAATCCCTTGTTGAAATCTCTTACATTGATCTCTCTTGGTCTTTGATGAACATTTAATAAGACAAGTTATTTTTTGTCTCATTCATAGTCCCCTACCAGTGAAACCGGAGGAGCCTATAGGTTTTCTCTGAGTCTGTCCCCCTGCGAGATGAAATTCATAATTTCAGGAACTTTGATGAATCATTCATGAAAATTCATGATGTATTCATGACTGGTTCTTGACTGGTTCATAAAGATGGTTCATGAATTTTATTCATGAATATATTCATAAAATGTAGTTCATGAACAAATGATGAATATATATGAATATAGGTAATTTTCAGTTTAAAAACAGAAAAAAAAACGTTTAGTTCAAGGTAATGAATGTTCATGAATTTTCATGAAGACTTAATTGACACAATCGATTGCCAGAAAACACTCATAACTCCCATAATAGAACTTTTGCATGCACATGCACTGTTGAACAAGCCCCTGGTATAATCAGGTCCTGTCTAAAGACTATTTCTACCTACGTAGCTATTAATAGCTACGTAGGTATTTAAACCTACCCAAAGTAGCTATTCTTACCTACTTTTTGCATTACTTTCATTTTGTGGCCAACGGCCGAATGGCGCAACATGGTGAGTACCAAATTTCTTGCTACAGTCACACTAATGATGAATACAACAAAACTTTGTCCAAAAAATGATTACTTCATAACTTAACAATTTTGCATAGTAATTAATGCAAAAATTATTAATTTACGACGTAATCAATTTGTGGCCAAAATTTTGTTGTATTCATCATCAGTGTGACGGCATTTAGATATTTGGTACTCACCATGTTGCGCCATTCGGCCGTTTGGCCACAAAATGCAAGTAATGCAAAAATTAGGCAAAAATAGCTACTTTGGGTAGGTTTAAATACCTACGTAGCTATTAATAGTCTTTGTACTGGACCTGATAATTAATTACATGTTTTCATTTATCTACTATCTGAAAAAATATAAATCATGAAATCTGTAAACATTTCGTGTTTTGATTATAATTAAACAAACACTGCATCATCATAGCCAGCAATTTTTTTTAATGAAATTACCCATGTTCCTTTATTATTTTAATAAACCAGTTACATTGAAAATGTGCCGTAAATAATCTCATTTTTCACGACGCAACGTACTTTGTTCGACCGAATTTTCTCCAATGTCAAAATTAAAGCAAGTTGTGAGAAACTGAAACAATTAAGAAAAAACTTCGTAATCTACTTTAAAACACGTCATATATTTATTGACAACTAAAAAAATTACAGGTCTTATCCGTACTGTACCGTACTATTCTTGGGTTGAAACGTTTTATCCCCATACAAAAATATTGATGTAGTTAAAAAGTCATACTTTTTCCATGCATCGTGTGTAAATGATACAACACAGATTGCATGGTTGTAAAGTATCTATGACATGATCCACATTCGTATTTTTTTCGTCTATTTTCCATACGATAAGTCTTCATAGTTGTCAACTTGTTGTCCTCCGGTTCCCTCGTCCGCGGCCGCCATACTTGTTATGATAATACGAAACGAAGACGCTCATTGATGACGTAAAAATTTTCTTTGAATTCATTAATTGATAAAAATTATATTGATTTTTAAAATTTAATTCCAGTGAAAAATTATTCAGATAGTCTTTGTTATTTTTTAAAATAAAAATATTGGGAATTCGAAACTATATCCTAGCTCTGCCTTACATTTTTAAGAACCCAAGTTTCCATTGGTCAAGACGAAAGGCGCAAACTTGAAACGCGCAAGACGTTGGAAATGTGAATTGATAGAGTAGGAGGATCGATATTAAAGTATTATAATTAGCGTAGTCATTCTTTGTCATCCTCTTAAGGAAATAACAGAATACGAAGAAGGAAGAATATATATATTCAGAGGATCAATCTACTTTGCAGCCATAACTTCAGAGATTAGTGGTGAGTTACAAAACAAGAGGCCCATGGGCCACATCGCTCACCTGAGCACATTGGCTAGGCAAAAGCACAATCAGTTCAGTATTGAAAAAACCGGGGGGGGGGGGGGGAGGGGGGGGCTTGAATTTTAAACTACCTGATGATGCTTCCATGTCAATATAACAAATGGCTTTGTTGTACTTGAGAAGATTTAAAAAAAAAAAATTCCCATATATTCCTTTTAAAAATTTGATCCCTCATTGTGGCTCCTCCCTATCCCAGGGGTCATCATTTGAACAAACTTGAATCTACACTACCTGAGGATGCTTCCATATCAATATGACTAAACATAGCTTTTCTGTTCTTGAGAAGAAATATTTTTTCTATATCTTCTTATGTAAAACTTTCCATCCCCCATTGGGCCCCACCCTACCCCTGGGGGTCATCATTTGAACAAAATTGAATCTACACTACCTGAGGATGCTTCCATATCAAAATGACTAATCATGGTTTGCAGTTCTTCAGAAGAAGATATTTTCCTATATATTTCTATGTAAAACTTTGATCCTCCATTGTGGCCCGCCCTACCCCCGGGGGTCATGGTTTGAACAAACTTGAATCTACACTACCTGAGGATGCTTCCATATAAATATGACTCATCATGACTTTGCTGTTCTTGAGAAAAAGATTTTAAAGATTTTTCCTATATATTTCTATGTAAAACTTTGATCCTCCATTGCGGCCCAGCCCTACCCCCGGGGGTCATGGTTTGAACAAACTTGAATCTACACTACCTGAGGATGCTTCCATATAAATATGACTCATCATGACTTTGCTGTTCTTGAGAAGAAGATTTTTAAGATTTTTCCTATATATTTCTATGTAAAACTTTGATCCTCCATGTGGCCCCGCCCTACCCCCCGGGGGTCAAGATTTGAACAAACTTGAATCTACACTACCTGAGGATGCTTCCATATAAATATGACTCATCATGGCTTTGCTGTTCTTGAGAAGAAGATTTTTAAAGATTTTTCCTATATATTTCTATGTAAAACTTTGATCCTCCCCTGTGGCCCCGCCCTACCCCCGGGGGTCAAGATTTGAACAAACTTGAATCTACACTACCTGAGGATGCTTCCATATAAATATGACTCGTCATGGCTTTGCTGTTCTTGAGAAGAAGATTTTTAAAGATTTTTCCTATATATTTCTATGTAAAACTTTGATCCTCCATTGTGGCCCCGCCCTACCCCCGGGGGTCATGATTTGAACAAACTTGAATGTACACTACTTCAGGATGCTTCCATTTAAATATGACTCATCATGGCTTTGCTGTTCTTGAAAAGAAGATTTTTAAAGATTTTTCCTATATATTTCTATGTAAAACTTTGATCCTCCATTGCAGCCCCGCCCTACCCCCGGGGGCCATGGTTTGAACAAATTTGAATCTGCACTAGCTGAGATTGCTTCCATATAAATATGACTCATCATGGCTTTGCTGTTCTTGAGAAGAAGATTTTAAAGATTTTTCCTATATATTTCTATGTAAAACTTTGATCCTCCATTGCGGCCCCGCCCTACCCCCGGGGGTCATGATTTGAACAAACTTGAATCTACACTACCTCAGGAAGCTTCCATATAAATATGACTCATCATGGCTTTGCTGTTCTTGAGAAGAAGATTTTTAAAGATTTTTCCTATATATTTCTATGTAAAACTTTGATCCTCCATTGCGGCCCCGCCCTACCCCCGGGGGTCATGATTTGAACAAACTTGAATGTACACTACCTGAGGATGCTTCCAAATAAATATGACCAATCATGGCTTTGCTGTTCTTGAGAAAAAGATTTTTAAAGATTTTTCCTATATATTTCTATGTAAAACTTTGATCCTCCATTGCGGCCCCGCCCTACCCCCGGGGGTCATGATTTGAACAAACTTGAATCTACACTACCTCAGGAAGCTTCCATATAAATATGACTCATCATGGCTTTGCTGTTCTTGAGAAGAAGATTTTTAAAGATTTTTCCTATATATTTCTATGTAAAACTTTGATCCTCCATTGCGGCCCCGCCCTACCCCCGGGGGTCATGATTTGAACAAACTTGAATGTACACTACCTGAGGATGCTTCCAAATAAATATGACCAATCATGGCTTTGCTGTTCTTGAGAAAAAGATTTTTAAAGATTTTTCCTATATATTTCTATGTAAAACTTTGATCCTCCATGTGGCCCCGCCCTACCCCCGGGGGTCATGATTTGAACAAACTTGAATCTACACTACCTGAGGATGCTTCCATATAAATATGACTCATCATGGCTTTGCTGTTCTTGAGAAGAAGATTTTTAAAGATTTTTCCTATATATTTCTATGTAAAACTTTGATCCTTCATTGCAGCCCCGCCCTACCCCCGGGGGTTATGATTTGAACAAACTTGAATGTACACTACCTAAGGATGCTTCCACATGAGTTTCATCTTTCCTGGCCCTATGGTTCTTGAGAAGAAGATTTTTAAATGATGCCATTATTTTTTCATTAATTCCTAATTATCTCCCCTTGAAAGAGGGCGTGGCCCTTCATTTGAACAAACTTGAATCCCCTTTACCCAAGGATACTTTGTGGCAAGTTTGGTTGAAATTGGCCCAGTGGTTCTTGAGAAGAAGTCGAAAATGTGAAAAGTTTAGAGACAGACAGACAGACAGACGGACAGACAGACGGACGCCGGACAAAATGTGATCAGAAAAGCTCACTTGAGCTTTCAGCTCAGGTGAGCTAAAAACGGTAGGCAATGACTGATTTAATCATTTAATCAGATATCTGTCGGTAGATGTTACTCTATTTGTTAAATTATTATGCTTCTTTTTAAATGAAGGCTTTGCCAAACTTTGCTTTGAGTGGGGATCCAACCAAAGTAACTTACATTAATTAGGATAGATAGATATATATAGATATACAGGCTATAGATAGGCTAGTTTATGAAAACATTCATAGGCCTATTGACCTACAACATGACAGCCGAGGGAAATAGGCAAACTTCCTCTCAGACTGCTCTATGGAAGAACTGCTACCCCTTCTAGATCTGCTTATGATGCATAAAACTAAAATTAATAAAACTTGCAAGAAAAGAATAATTTTTTTTTTCTGTATCTTTAGCTAATGGCAGGGAAGGGGATAAAACCTAATTTTGGTAAATTTACAATAAGAATTCAAAACTTTTAGAGTATGAATTTTTTTTGAGGGGGGGGGGGGTCCTGACCACTTTTACACATGTAATCTAATGGGGCTTTAATTGATTAGATAAGGCACATACAAAGTGTTTGACCCAAGACTGGATGCTAATAAGAGTTGTGTAAAATGAAAATTCTAAGTTAAAAGTCATATAATTGTTTTATTGTAAATTTCTAGATGACAAGAAACATCTTGAGAAAATAAAAGAAGGAACTGGAGAACTTAACCATACATTTCAGGATGCATCAGTACGTATGAAAAGTTTTAAAGTGTAAGCCAAACAGTTCAACTCTCTTAAGTTAATCTATTAGAATAATTATACTTTCACAAATTAAAATGATTACACAGACACAAATAGTCTATCATTAAAAATGAAAATATTTTTTTCTAAATAGCATCCTGTTCCAGCAAACTATTTTCAAGGCAAACAAATTTGCTCCTAAAAAGAGCACCAGCTTCATCATCTGATTCAGCAACAGAAAGGCAGTCTCCACCTGCCACATCACTAAATATTACAGGTAAATCAAGCAGGTTAATGTACCTAGTAACCTTTGAACTGTTTGCAGCATCTCTCTGCACTTACCTTTTTAAAATCTTTTTTTTTTTTTTTAGGGAAAAAAATCTTATTTTTGTTATAAATTGCCTGAAAATTTCTTTTAATTCTGTTTTAATAGGCACACTTTCTTCAGAAAGTGTCACTGAAGATTTGAACCATTAATTTAGGTCCATGGAATCTTTAGACAAAGACAATTTAGTACTTTTCATATTTAATTATGTTATAGTGTTTAAGCCATGATAAACTTTTAAGAATCATTGTTTTAATATTGGATGACCTACCCCGGTAGTCCTAGGTAAATTTATGATCCCCTTTGCAGTTTCGTTTGCAACTTTATGTCAATCTGTTTTGGTAAATGTAACTTTTTAGCATTACACACCAAAAGTTGCTTTTAATCCTACACTTTTCAGCTAAATAAAGAGTATACTAGATATTTATAGATGAATTTTTTAAGGTGAATGTTCTTGGCAACCTTCATTATAATACCATGTTTCAGTATAAAAATGTTAAAGTTTAAGATTTGTTGATTCTCATTACATGTAGTTAAGAAATGTAACAGTAATCTTCATGGGCATTTTCAGAAAATCTTTGTTCTTGTAGGTAAAAGAGAAGCAGTTCATAAACGATGTTGATATGTTGAGATCAGAAGATAAGAAACTCTGCAAAAAAAATCCGTGCTCTTGAAAAAACAAAAGAAAGAAATGAAAATATGGATGATATTCGATCAAAGGATCCGAATGATGAAATTCTGGAAATTCCAAATGGAGCACCAAGAAGAATCTTTGAACTGACCATTTCTGCTCGAAAATGCTTGATAG